GACCTAAAAGTTATAGCTGAAATCTAATCCAGAAACGGCAAGGCCCTGTTTTGGAAATTGTCTATAAAGTGTCAGCACTCAAGGATGCATTGGGAACATAAATAGTGCAGCATTGTTTGAGCACTGGAGGGGACTGTAAATGCATTTCTCTGCTCTCCTGCTCTTGCTTCTGACACTAGCTTGGGAGCTCCGGTAACCGCCTCGCCCGTGGGAGAGCGAGGAAAGGCGGCTCCTGCAGGCGCCATGCAGCCGGGGGGCCTGTTCCCAGCAGGGGCCCGCTGGCGTGGGCCCCTTCCCCGCCTCCAGCACGTGGCTGGCAGCTGGAGAGGGGCTCCCTGGGGCGTGGCTACTCTCCAGGCCGCGGGGACAGAGGGGAGGCTGTGGCTCTGAGGTGTCTGCACACCTCTTCCCCTCCCAGCTCCTCCCCATGCCCCGGGCAGGGCAGCAGAGCGAAGCACCCTGGCTCTGCCCCTCTTGGGTGGGGCAGGGCTGCGGAGCGGCTGCCCATTTCGCTGGGGGCAGGGAAGAGCAGGGGCTTTGGGATCCCAGACAGGGCAGCAGCAGGGGGTCTGCATGCCCATCCCTCACCTCCCTCTGCGCATTGGGGCCAGGCCGAGCAAGAGGAAAGCGATTTGGGGCCGAAGGAGAGCAGGGCGCCTGGCGTCTGGGGGCAGCGGGAGCCGGGGAGGGGGAGTCCGTATTTGTTTGAGGGGGATTGTTAGTCGGCCGCTGTGGCCAAGGTAGCTAGAGGGAAAAGAAGCGTTTTGCTGAAGCGTTTCCCCTGGAGCCAGGCGGCGCGAGGGCTCTGGCAGCTCCGGGGCTGGACCGAGGGCCAAGAGCAGGGCAGCCGGGTGCGGTTGGAGGCCCCTGTGCGCCAGCCACGGGGCATGTGCACGCTAATGCATGTTCAATTATTAACGGCTCAGTCTCTTCGTCTGCACGGGGGTGTTGCCGGCCCCCCCCAGGATTGCGGCTGCACCTTCCGCCCTCTCCTGAGAGACGGAGCAATGGCCCAGGGGTCCGCGTTCCCTCCCAGGCAGGGCGCTCCCGGGGGCCTGGGCCGAGTGGCGAGGAATCTCATTTCCGACCGTGCTGACGTGGACCTCGGAGCGATACCGTGTCCACGGAAACGACCTGACTAGTCACGGCGCCCGGGCCGGCTGCTCGCGAGGCCGAGGCGCCTGGGGCTGCGCCACAGGGAAGGCTTTCAGATTGCACATGCTTGCCCAGAAACGTGTTGTAGGAAGGGCCGGTTCGGGGGGGGACGGAGAGGAGCAGGCGCCCCCAGGTGCTTGTGACAGGGGCTGCGGCTGGCGCCGGTTGCCTTGGCCGGGACGGAGGCTCTGGAGAGCTGCTCTTTGTTCAGGTCTTGCTGGGGGAGGCAGGAGCCTCAGACCCGGCATGAGCCGAGCAGCAGATGTGGGGGGTAGCGCGTGCCCC